TCGTCACCCCTCCAAAAAAAACATAACATTTTAGGGGAAGGAATGAGGGTTTTCTTACCCCCAACTCGTCAATCTAATATGAAAATATCCGGTATAGATTTAGTTATAACCACTTCGGATTATAGTCAAGTCGACTACTCACATAAAATTCAAAAAGTTGAATCGAACCAAAATTATGCAACACAAACACAGCTATATATACAATTTGTGCATGATATGACAAAAAATAGGCTAGACATAAGTTGAATATATTTTGATATGATGATTCTCACAAGAAACTAAATAAAACTACTACTTAAAGATGAAGTTATTATGATCGTTGGCCAACCATAATGACTAGTAAAAGAAAACAAACAGTCTAGCATGTTAGTTTTGCTCCCACCTACCCTGAAAAACCATCAAGTGAAGTGGAAAAGTTTGGCTATGTTTTATGATGGTAGGCAGATTAGAAATACATGGTGGAACATATTTTCTTATTCTTATATCAACATCGGAAATGAAGCACAAATTAAAAAAGTAGGAGATCTTGATACATAAATAACTTGTCTGCTAGATACCCAAGATTGAGCCTGAGATGCATCTATCTTTACAATCAGAGTTCTACTCTGGGATTGACAAAGCCACCTTCGCTTTCATTCAATGTTTGGAACCGAATAAGCCAAAGACAATAGACTTCTCCGACCTTTCCCTCTTAGTTTGATTCTGATGAGCTTGAATTCGATCTTAAATAAAGAAAAAAGAATTTTTCCAATCGAATCGAGCAGACCGATCCGCTTCCTCTGGTTTAAAAATCTTGTTGGTTGTTTTCGGGTATCAGAATCGAAAACTTATGAGGATTAGGCTCACGATCCATATTGTAGGTGCGCGTTCCATATAAAAAATCATTATCAGCGACTAACAAAAAAATGACCACTTGAATTTTGCATCATGAAAATTTTTAAATTTTTTATTATTTTAGATAATTAAAGATTAGATTTTTTACGTTACACATTATATGTATTAAAAGTGTTTCAATGTGATTCTTCTGTTAAATTTCGTACTCATTGCGTCAACGTCGATATTATGATTTTTAACGGAATAAGTAATGGAAACTAACAAAAAGAGTATATTACAATACTTTTAATATATTAAATGTGCAATATAGAATATTTAATATTTGAGGGTGTAAAATAAAAAAATTTAAATCTTTTAGGGTACAAAGAGCGATCACCCCCTTGATTCATTCCATGACGCGAAATCCATCATTAACTAAACGATGATTTGGTTACGCTATTTTTGCATCTTTCCCCAAGTCGTGGGTTGTTTTGTTAGTTTATGTTTCGATCTTGCTTTCTTAACTGTAAGTGTAATAAGGTAGCTCTCGAAGGCAGGCTGCTTTAAAAAATAACTATGATTAGTTTATTAATCTAGAATGGACAATCTGTCATAAACCTACAAAGAAAAACATTAATTTTTTAAACTAGTTCAGCTAGAAGAGTTTAGAAATTATCATCAAAAGGTCTACAATTTGGCCTTTGCAAGCGAGTCACAATTTACTTGATTCGACTAAGTTTTGAATTGTAGTACACATTTGAATTTATTCTGTAACATTGAATTTAAAAGATGCATGATTAAGATGAATATATATATTATAAAAATAGTTTTTCTAATACTAGTTGCAATGTGTAATCTCACTGGCACTAGGATTGTTCGCCTGAGAGGACGAGTAGGAAATAGTGGATTTTATCTTACAAGTTGATGAATTACAGAAGACTTAATTTCTTTGCCGACCCAACCCGATCGAGGGTATTGTTTAGAGTTGAATTCCGTCTAGAAAATTGGCTCGGAAGTCGAGTAAGAATGTAAAATATCTCACATATTTTCAGTTTTTAATTTTTGAATTATTTTAATAACTTAATTACTAAATTTTTGGGTTACTTTTACAATTAGGTTATTAAAATATAAAACAAGAACATATAAACCAACACAATAAACTAATAACACTACAGAAAATACAATAAATCTTATAAAACGACGTCGTTTTATACCAAATATATTATTTAAAAAAAAATTAAATATATGTGTGGGTCGAATGAAGAATTTTTATGAGTATTTTGCATTCTTACTCGTATTTTTACGAAATACTAAAAATTTTTCTATTGGCCGATCGAAATTTTGTAGAATTTCAAATAGAATCGAATAGGAAGGATTCAGAACGGGTCGGGTGAGCAGAATTCTGAACAGCCCTACCCGGCACCCAATAAGATTATAGTTTTGGAGGCATTTCAGTGCCTTTTGTCAAACAACACTCCATTGATAGAAAGTTTCAGATGGGATTTCATTCAATGGGTGGCAATGATGTCCTAAGGCACCACAAAAATAGATATTGAATAAATCCATTGAAAACTGGATTGGGACTGTCCCAAGTGTGGATTGGAACTGTCCCAAGTGTGGATTGGAACTACCATATATATATATACATATATATACACACACATATGTATATATTAATTTCATTTTGCTAGTTGAATTCAAAAGTCTGGTTTCGATTGCTTATATAGTCATTACAGAAGAATTGTTATTTACTTGCTTGTCAAACCTTCCATTCCCATTTTGAACGACCGACAATGACACATGCTATCCTTGACTTTTTTTTTTTTTTTGTAAAAAAAAATTATAGTGATTTTTACCTTTAATATTTTTTATTGTAATTTTTAACTTATTCTTCAAATATTTTTAATTTTATGAAGTGCGGTTTAAACCCACGAGTTCTAGTATAAAATCGTGCTTGCAAAACATATTTTTAAAGATTCACGTTTTAAAGCATACTTTGAAAATCCATTCTATAAAAAAAAACATGGGTTCTATTCTTTTATAACAAATAACAATAGTTTTAAAAATAAAATCAAAATATTATCGTAGAATAGAAATTGATTCGGCTTTCCTATCTCATTCGAGAAAAATATTTGGTGTAACTGTTATACCACGTTAGCAGTATCATTTAGTGTAACAATCTTCTAAAAAATAAACAACTCTGAAAATGAGCCTCGCTAATATTCATAACCATCCAATCATGTAATATATAACCATCTTCAAGATAAGAAATAGGCTCCATTTTATTTATTTTCTTGTTGGATGGTACACCCAACAAGAAAATAAATAACGGTTATATAACGTTAGTATTATTATGTGGTGCGACTATTTAATGATAAATAAATAATAATATTAATATTATATAACCGAATATTTTTGGGATACCACAAACCAAGGTTCTTGCTTGTATCAAATCCAAAAACCAAAAAAAAAAAAAAAAAACGAAGAAAGAAAAGAAAAGGATAAGGCTGAATCATGCCGTCCTACCATGTGAGTTTTGGGTGAGCAATTTGTCACTTGCGTCTGTGAATTGTTTGACTTCTTGTCTTTGCTGACCCTTTTTTTTGGCTACTTCATGTGCAGGAGTTTTTAAAGGCACAAATTGGTATCTCTAAAGCCACGGAGATCAATAGTTCGATCTAAGGTTGACAATTGAGTTGAGCAAAGAGTTATTTGGGCTTGACTCAGATAAAACTCAATTCGAGCTTAATTTGTGTTCTAAATGAGTTGAATTTGATCAATTCTTTAAATTTATTTAAAAGAACGAGCTCGACAAATTCGAATCGAACTCTCACAAAATTTGTCTCGATTATTAACATTTTTCTTCCTCATAAGTCAATTTTACTTTACCCCGATGTGAATGATTGACGTGTAATTATGTGTGTATTCAGAGTTTGCATTGTAATTGTATGTACAAAAAACACGCGTAATTAAAACGATTCTCCGTTATTGTGATTAAAAAAACATTATTCTCGTATAGCACTGTCAGAGACAGAGGGAGGATTGAGAGTAGGGATGTCAGTGGACCGAAGCGAGGGCGGGGAGTATAGTTTTCATCCCCGTACCCGTTTAAAAAAGCTCCGTCCATTCCCGGTCAACCCCCCGTTAACGGGTAAATTTCTAACCCCCGTCTTCGTCCCCGTCCCCGCTTTCTCCATACCCGCCTAAGCCCAGGCCCAAGCCCAAGCCCAAGCCCAAGTAGCATAATATAAAATTCTAAATAGATCTAATATTTTAAATAATCCAACAACATTTTAAATAATCTAACACAACATAATGTAGATTGCACAATATAAAAGTCAAAACAATAAAGTATTCTATTTAATGTGTCATTGGACCACAAAAAGAGAAACGAAATTATTAGAGAGAAAGGAAGAAAAGAAAAATAAAATTGAACTAAGAAAACAATAACACTACACACGAAGATTGCTTGAAGAATTTTTGTTATTACAATTCATATTATAACCATAAAGTGTTAAAAGATGAAAAATTAAAATTTCGCTAATTCAATAATTCTACCAACGATAAAATGCAAAACTATCTTACTCTCTCTTATATGTTTTTAGAGTATGGTCAATCCAAACTCTTAATAGTTTCAATCAGTGAGCACACATAGAAAAAAGAACAATTAGAGGTAAAAGTTGATAAGATTACCACATAACAATGTTACTTATTAGTTTGATTACCATATTTCTAGATTGATAGTTATAGTAAATATGTTTAGTTAGGTTTTTGAAGTATATATATATATAAGGGTAAGTCAATCCCCGCCTTCATCCCTATACGGGTTTATACGGGTATTCCCGTATACGTCTATCGTCCAATACGTATAGTTCATTCCCGATCCAAACAGAGTGGGTTTGAACGAATACCTGTTTTTTTCTGATCCACTGCCATCCCTAATTGAGAGACACCGACCCTAACCATGGTTCACTTCAGGCCTAAGCTAGCCCTTTACCTTAAACATTAGACCTGAATAGAAAGGGCAACGAATTATTGGGTTGGGCTAGTGGCAGTTGGAGGGCTATTACCACATGGGGCAGCCAGCCCAACCCAACTCATGACAGCCTTTGGCTAAAAAACCACTGAAAGCGAGTGAGCCAGTGAGCTATGTTGTTGGCTTGTGTTCAGCCCAGGTTGAAAGATACATGCTGCATGGTGCTTGGTATACAAGTCAGCTGAATTATGCAGATCTCCAATCTGGATTGCTTATGTCCATATTATGGTTCAAAAAATCATTCGACAATGACTCTGGCACTTTTCATTCCGGTACTACTTCACGTTTTGTATAAACCACGAGTTTTACACCACTCACCTTAGTCGTTCAAGACCTATCACCAAATCAGCCGATATCATTTTGTATTGCAATATGAAATCTTCCTGTCATATTCAACTTTTTATTCTACCTGTAATCTACGTGTATCATCCACCAATACTGTTCCATTAAACGATTCACCGAACCAGCCATACTACAACCTTAAACCATGATCCACATTGATGATCCTTGCAGTGCAACTTACCCTCCGATGCAAAAGCTCAGGGAAGTTCTCGTTGATCATGCATCAATCAACAATGATGACTTCATGAATCGCGACGTTTCCATCTTCCTCAAGATGGGAGTTTTTGAGGAGGAATTGAAGAGCCTCTCACTAAAGAAGTTGAGAGCACAAGTAGCTGTTGTGAGTCTTGGGATGGTGGAAATTCAGTAGTTCTCAACAGAATCAAGGAGTGCAGATCTTACCCTCTACACAAGTTTGTGAGGGAAGAGTTGGGTAACAAGGAATTCTCAGCAATTTGTGAGCGAAAGGCAATACAGCTTTAAAACCGGATATAAAGTATAGAGCTGAAACTAAGAAAACTGAGAATCTAAAAGGGGGATTTAATACTAAGTCGATTTGATGCAATCGAAGAAATGGGATTGATACGGAAGAGAAGTGACATCCGACTACTTGACTATCTTTCTCACTTCCAATATTTCATCATTGCCCGAAGGTGGTCTCAAGGATTGGAATGTCGCCCTTCTTCCAATTTGTTAGCCTTTCTGGACAGACGACACCGATAATTTCAGTGTCTCACCAAACCAGACGACGCTCCAGAAAAAAGGGCAGCTTCTTTCTGTGTACACTTCTTTTTCAGGTTTGAAAACTTGAAATGTTTTGGCAACCTACTGGAAAATTCATGTTTTGACAAAATAATTGACTAAAACAATGTCCGCAATGAGGGTACTTGTGTTCATCTAAAGTTTACGTTGCAGTCATAAATCTAAAAAAGACGTAGTTGGATGATTAGGAGCACCAACTAGCCAAACAAAAACAAATCATATACCATTATCAAGCTAGAATTTCAATATAAATTTCCCTCAAATCACACATCGATACAATTGTAATGACAAAGATTTAGCAAATATAAAACCCAGAATCAAATCATACAGCATCCAACAATCCAGTACAAAGTCCATTACAATGAAGAAATAGCCCAAATGGTTGGATGTCTATTTCCACTAAGCAACTGATGAATTTCATATCTAGATTTTGAACCAGCAACTCTTTCAGAAGACCACAACACCATCTCTCTCTCTCTCTCTCACAAACACACAGAGTAAGCAAAGAAACATAAATATATACATCCTATTTTAGTAAAGCAAAGCATTCAACTATATACAACCAGAAATTTATGTGATAAAAAAAATTAGATAAAAAGACATTTTTACATCTTACTCTGGTTAGCCATTACAATTCACACGAGCTCCTCCCACAAATAATGTTGCAAGGCCTGGTTGGACAAAAGTTAGACAAGCAGCAATTTTTCAAGCAAAGTTGACCGGTCAATCATCATCGGATAAACAAAAAACATCAGCAGCTACAGCAGAAGGGGTTGAGCTAACATGTGCGCTAGCCAGTGCTCCAAATTCGGACAAGTCTAATGAACCAAAGTTGACACTAAAATCAGGTAGAGGTGGCAAACTGTTAGACTGATGTGCACTGGTACAATTATCAATGTCCATAAGCAACTCCAGTGCAGAAAGCGACAAACTATGAGCTGGCAAGCCTCTGGCAGTTTCAGGTTGTGGAGACCTCCTATAAGGTCCAGAGTGATTGGTTGGTAATGGTGGGGTTGGTTGGGGTGGAAGTTGGGGATGTGAGGGAGCAGTTTCAGGCAGGTTATTTGGTGCCTGCTGGTAAGGTATCCCACGTGGTAGAGATGCGAGACTGGCAGCTGACATGGATGCATGTCTGAAAGGTTGAATGTGGGGGGCTGGGGCACGAATCTCACCACCGACTCGGAGATTTCGTGTGGAAGGGGTAACAGAGCTAATATGAAGAGTTCTGCTCATACTGCTGGATAAAAGTGCCGCTGAATGGTGAACTCGTGGAGGGCGTGGGGTGATCAGCTGACTGGCTGGAGGTTGGCCAGCTGGATACAAACCAGAGACAAGAGGTCTTGGTGTAGGCTGCATCAAACTGGAAGGCATAGCTGCAATGAAATCAAATGTTAGGTGCTCACCAAAAAGACATGAACCTCCATGCATGTCCAAGTTGAACATATATTAAAGCTCGTATCTGCAAGCATATGTTTGCGTATGCATATAGACAACTATATAACATGCAAGGCAACATAATTAACAGTGTTGGCAGTTTAAGGGTATCGGTAGGGTTCAGTATATTCCAAAGCATTCAAATAAAATTGGGGTTTTGCAGGAAACGGGCAAGAAGATTTCCCTGGGGGATTCCTGAGATCAAAATATTAACAAGGTGGTCCAAAAACTATTACAAGCTGTATTTACTGGATTCTGAAACTCTCCATCCTTTAAATTGTGTTTCATTCTTCAGATCAAACCAAGGCTATCACACTTGTGTTGACGTAGATTTCTGTAAATCCTTAATCTTAAAAATGGTCTTTTGTTTTTTAATCAAGATGATGTCATCGAATTTCTTACAGATCTATTCAAAATTCAGTCAGAATGAAGCAGTAAGGAAAATGCATCTCGAATTGTTCTGTCAATATATTGGGAGGCTAGAGAACTAATTATGTATAATAACACAATTTTTATCTTTCCCAAGACTTCAGTGAAGAATAAAAAACACCAAACTATATTTTTCCGATTAGGTATTATATCATTCCCACTCCTATATAATTGAAAGTTTAAAGAAGGCATAATAGACAATGTTTTATTTGACGTATACCACTGAGATCAGAAGTATATTCCTAATTCTATAGATGAAGTAATGGGGCATAGGATCACAAGGATTGGGTTTTTATATGGATTTTGTACTGGAAATCAATGATTTGGGGGAAGGTGGATGAAGTGAGCGGCTAAAGTCAATACATTTCTTAATCATGCTTAATGGCAAGCCAATGTGTAGGTTCAAGGCATCTAGGGGCTCGCACAAGGTGATTCTTCTTCACCTTTTTTATTCACTTTTGTGCACAAGGTACTCAGAGCTAGGGGTTGTCATTGAAAATGATGAGATTTGGGTCTCTCATTTGCAATTTGTTGATGGCACTATTTTCTTTTCTTTAGACAACGAGGTAAAATTTTGAAACTCAAAAAAGATAGTGGACTTGTGTGGTAATGTTTTGGGATTTGAAGGTTAACATGGCGAGAACTGTTATAGTGGGCATCAACTCCCAGCAGGATAAGACTACAAGGTTAGCAGGTCTATTTGAAGTGTTGTAGAAGGTGGCCTCTGACAATTTTTTTTTTGGGGGGGCGGTGGGTTTTAATCCCCTTTTTTTCTGAATTTCTGGGAGCTTGTTATTGAAAAATTTGGAAGAGATTAGACGATGGAAGAAAGCTTACATTTCAAGTAACAAGGGCAACTAAGACTAACCCAAGCAGGATTACCTAGCATTTCCACTTATTTTCTATCTCTGTTTAAGATGTCATAAAGAGTGAAAGATGATTGGAAATATGATGAGTGACTTTCTGTGAGATGGGAATGGTGAAGTGAAAAGGGTTACTTATTTAAGTGGGAGGTGGTGAGAAAATCAAGAATGAAAGGGGCTTTTCCATTGGCAATCTGTTTCCACGCAAGGTAGCTTTAGTTGAGAAATGGCTTTGGAGATTCCTTAGGGAACAACATTAACTGTGGGATTTGTTTATCAAGAGTAAATCCGGTTTACATGTCAATAACTGGAATACCAATGGGGTAGAAAAAGGAAGTTATTGAAGTCCATGGAAACTATGGATTGAATAGATTCTTGCAAAATGTCAAATATATTGTAAGCAATGAGAAGAGAGTTAGGTTATAAGAGGATGTTTGACTATGGGGAGCCTACATTATGTAGAGTTTCCACGTCTCTATCGTATTTATCATACTCACAATTCTTCCATTGCTTCCATGGTTTGCTATAATCCTCATTCACATTCTTGGGATGTTGGTTTTCGTAGAAATCTTGATCACAGAGATGTCTTGAACATGGCCCTACTTCTTTCCATGCTTAACATTGTTAATTTTTCTCATGAATCAATCAATAAAAGAAATGAGACCTATGATGCATGGATACGGACACAGGGATACAACAAAGTTTTAAAATATAAGACACGGGTACATCAATGACAAGACTAATTAAAAACATATTATATATTTTTATATATATAATAACAACATTAATAATAACTAATTTCATATTATGGTATGTTTAGAATAATTGAATAAAATACAGATTAATTAATTTTTTTTATAGATCAGTCATGAGTCGTGAGATGGAATGACTCTGAGGCAAGATTTTATGCACTATTGCACAACAATTAACACAAATCAGGTCAGTGAGCTTAATGAACAAAAAAATTCATTCAAACACCAAAAACCCCAAAAGATTTCTAAAATTTTACAAACCTAACCCAAATAAATTTACAAACCAGATAATTCTAAACCTAAATAATTGAATAAAATACAGATCATTATTTTTTTCCCAGATTAAAGCACTACTCGTGAGTCTGAGATGAGAGTGATTGTGAGGCTAGGTTTTGTGCACAATTGCACAACAACTAATACAAATCGCGTTAGTGAGCTTAATGAACAAAAAAAAATTCCCCAAATATTTGTTCAAACAACAAAAATCCCAAAAGATTTCCAAAATTTCAAAACCTTAACCCAAAATTCACAAATTAGATAATTCTAAACCTAAATAACAAAATCAATGCACAAAATCAACCCCATAGCATACAAACCACAAAAGTAGCAAACCCTCCCCAATAGCATTACTTGATACAAAAGAAATGCGAGGATAGGTGACATTAAATTGAGGTGGTGGAAGGGTTACAGGAAAGAAGCTACTCCCTTGCAGCATTTCAGGGAACTCCATTCTTTTACATACTAGTGGTGGAATGCTTTCTGATTTTTGGCTTGTTTCCTATGTAATTTGTGATTCACTATGAAATTGCTTTGTTTGGACTTCTTGTCCACCTTCACTATTGTATATTATATTTGATCAATAAAATGTTTTTCCTCATTAAAAAAAAGAGTACAGGCTCAAGCCCCAACCTAGCCATGTGACTTTGTCTCAGATACCACAAAGGCCAGGGTTTACCCCGCTGAGAGCAGGCCATAGGAAGAGAGAATAAGGATTAGCAAGTGCCCATCATGTCCACGGTCGGCAAGGAGAAGTTCTACATATCATTGTTCGAAAACTGGCCTCAAGCATTGGACACAATTCACCATTAGAGATGCCGATTCTGTACTTAAGCTTACTTCTACATAACAACATGTGAAGGTCACAGCTTAGTTATAAAATTATCATTTTCCATATGCTGATTTCTTTTTTTTATTCAAGTTTCATGCGGAATGCAGAAATTGTGGAAAGATGACCAAATTTAGAACTTTGAACATAGAAAACAAAGTAATCATAATTAGAACTATAATTCTGGACTTAACTACTAACCAAGACTAAATAGTATCAACATCTATCATCTTTCTAAATTCAGCAGATATACCCAACAAGAAATAGAAAAATAGTGGTTTGGAAGTCTGTTGCAAATATGTACCTTGTGAAATTCCCAAGGTCCCATTATGCCTGAGATCCTGGCACTTAGACTTGAAGGCTTCTGCCAACATCTTATTCATGAGAACCTTCTTGTGGTTTGTATCAGCTTCATTTTTTTTCAGCAGGAATGCTGCCTCAGCCTCCTGATGTTTAGCCTCATACTTGCTACGAATTTGAGCAATCTCCTTGTCGCATTCAGATTTCAGCCACACTTTCTGCTCGAAGAAACATATTAGTGTGAAAATAAAATTTACACAAATCACTTGAAGAAATCACGATAAGAGCAAATGTGACACCGACCGTATCTTCATGAACCTTGATCGCTTGTTCTGTTTCTTTACGTAGTCTTTCCAATTCATTTTGCAGTGGGTCAGTATATAAAGACAGAGTTGGCATCCCGAAGGCTTCTTGGTGTGCACTATGTGTTGGAACGTGGTTAAATCCTTGCACACTGGATAAATTTTCTCCAGGTTGCAAAACAGTTTGATTTGGAAGCTCGACTCTGACCTCAACCACCTGAGGTGGAGCCTCAACATTTTGTAAAGAGACCTGGAATTTGCCACTTAGTTGATTTTGGACTCTACCAGGCAAACTTAAGTCAGGCTGATTATTCCCAAGAGGTAATTGTGTAGCAACAGTCGAAGAATGCACTACTAATTTTCCCCCTGTTTGTGAAGTAGCATGACCTGGAAGCTCTGCTTGGTTAACAGCCAACAGGAAAGATGACTCAGCATTTTGGGAAGAGATGTGCCCTTCACTACAAGGTTCACGACCAAGTTCATTAGCTGAAAGTAAATCATGTTGATCGCGACCCTCGTGTATACACATTGACCGACACAGTCTATCAAGAGGTTCTAACAATGGTGCTTCATGATAAGCCTGATCAATGGATCCAGCACCAACAGGTTGCAAAGCTTGAACATCATCTTGTTGCAAAGTTCTCTGATTTCCTTGAAGAGTTGCATCTTCATCTAGAATTCCAGTAGATGCCAATGCTTGAGAACCTTCATCCTGGAGCGCCTGACAATATACCATATCAAACAGAAAGAGTTCAGGCAAGTCAATCAGCTCTCTTTTAGAATCTTTTTCTACGAATCTCTAAAGGTTAAAAAAATACCAAGTAACATCTGATCTTAATAACAAAATCTTAATGTTATTCATCTACAGCATAGATGACTTGACGTCCTCAATGAATCAACTTCTCACAGTGATCATCTTATTGATCATTATTCTTAATTTCCAAGGGAAAAAAGGCACAATCAGTGGATTCGTCCACAATGGTACCAGCAGAAAGCACGAAATTACATGACGGCAAAGCATATACATAATTGAATTCTTTTAAGACCAAAATCATATACCAGATTCTGCGGCGAAAGATCACTGCAAGTGGGAGAAACAACTGGCTGTAATAAAGGTAAGTTTACCAATGACGGCTCCTGGGAAGATGACACAACATTGAAGGAGCAATTGGCACCATCACTCTGGATTCCCAAAGCATTTGGTACATCAAACCTAATTTCATTTTCTCTTCCATTCTCTGCATTGGATACCACAGCAGTAGTTCCTATTTGTACAGAACCAACAACACATACAACTTCATTAGGAATTGTTTCAGACACATCTAATGGGACCTCTTCAACTCTCAAAATTGATGGAACTACATCTGATGTCTGTTCTTCAAAAGAATGCAGATTTGCGGAAACAATGTTCTCAGTACCATCACTGGAACTGCCTACTGCGCTGGGCTGCTCAATTCTAGCAAAAAGTGCTCTGCCCGTAGCCAGAGCCTCCACATCATCATCATACACAGATACTGGATTCATAGGAATACTTATAGTTTCAGTGGGTTTGCCTACAGTTTCATTCAGAAGAGTATCAGGAATTTCAGCTGGTGCCACCCAATTCACTTGCGTACTATGCTCAATTCTATCAGGAATGTGTTCTGTAGGATGTTCAGGCACGTGGACAACGCTCTTAGGGCCATTGTCAGTTTTATATTCACCAGCCTGAGAGTGCTCCACCTTGTTGTTAGATTTGGACCTATGTAAAGGCAGCTTATTGAGTACTCTGTCTTCACTTGTGCAGGATTTTACCTCTGCCAACCAATTTTCCGCCTTCTGTTCCTCCTCAACCCTTGCAGCCAAATGCTTCGTCTCAAGATCTTTGAAGCATTTATCCTTCTGGTGTTTGTGGTCTTCCATTTTCTCTGCAAACTCATCATGTAATGCATTTAGCTTATCCATTTGCACTGAAATATTATTGTGAATAGAGCGTACAAGGGCTGACTCCATTCTGTGCTCTTTCTCCAGTCGTAAACACTCCTCCACCCAAAATCTGTGAAACCCCTGGATTTCCTCCTGTTGCTGTTGAAGGAGATTTGTCATCCGCCTTTTACATTTTTTCTGAACTCGTCTGACACTTCTTGGCATTTCTTTCTTTGCCATTTTGCAAATAAATGCCTGTTCCTGCTGCGAAAGGACCAATTCAACCACAGATTCCCGATCACGTGATCCCCCTTTGCCCTCCAGTTTTAGATTGTGCAGATTTAATGCCCTCATATGTGACTCCCCTGCATCCAATGGCTCTTTCAAAATATCTTCAGCTGCAGAGATGTGATCTTTTGAAGAACGTGATTCCTTGGCAATATCTGTGGAGGTTAAGAACATTTTTTTCAACACCCGCAACTTTGCATACACATAGTTTGCCTCTTCTTCCTTGCAACTAAAATCTAGGTGATCCTTTGCCAGCAAAATAGATTCCTTCCTATCAATTTTGTGTTTCAACAATGAAGCAGCGATCCAACACTGGAATAATTGCAAACACCCATAAAGTGAATAATAAACAATACAGCTAAACACGTACTGAGGCAGCAAGCCAACACTGGAATAATTGCAAACACCCATAAAGTGAACAATAAACCTTACAGCTAAACACGTATGCACATGAGCCTACATCGACAGAGAAAGCTAGTACCACCATGCACAGGAGAGTTGAGGGGACATTTATGAAGGATGGTATCTGATTTTTCTGATGTAGGAATTCAACTTTGATACATTCCAACTAAGTATCTTAATCATTTGAATTTCCCGGCCTGGTTCAAGTAGACAGACAAAACATAATAACAAAAATACTTTTCCATCCAGCTATGCAAAACCAAATGGGCTCCATTAGGGTTTATAGCTAAGCCCACTTGTTTTTTTTCCCAGGGTCATATTAGCTGCATTTATAAATTTCAGAGTCTTATGAATTAGACAAAACTGAGATTTATATAACAAATTTGTGGGTGGGGACATTCCCAAAAATAACATAAAAGTTGAAGACAACTCTTACAATACACCAAAGAATCAATTTTTTGCACAAATATATCTGTTATTTTCTTTTCATTTTTCCCTCATGTTTTGACCCCTGACATGCTCCCCAACTTTGATTTTACCCACATTTATGTATCCATAAAGAGACGGAACATTAAACCTGAGTGAACATCAACATTATGTAAAAGAGGCACTAAACTGTACCTGATTTGATTTGATTAAATAAATGGTGTGAGCAAATTGTTAGGATTTGCAATGCAATCGCCATTGGAGTGATACATAACTTTGAGTTTTACATTTTAAACTCCTTTTTTTTTGGAGATTAAAGCTAAGTTGCAAATCTATATTAGATTCATTGTAGGTATTTGCTTCAATATGTAAGATTTCATTAAATTACAACATAGGATTATCTGTTTAAAAAATTTTACATATAAATCTATAAAAACCGGCAATGAATAAAAAATGCTCCATTAGTTTGTTGTTAAATGATCCAACTCAAGAAAATCTTGACTCCACTCTTGCTATCTATCATGAGACAAAAATGATCATACTCTGGAAGATGAAAAGAATCTAACCACAGATATCTGGAAAGCATGTAATATACTTGCTGGTTCCTGATTGACATGATGATTCTCAAGAACATATTCAAGAAAATTATTGGCCATAACCCTGATATCCTCCTGCAAAAAAGACAGATGCACCCTATGAGATAGTACTACCTGCAATACAAAAGTGCAACATATCATCAAAGCATGGGTTTCACATAAGTCCAACAATTAAAATAAATTTTAAAATATAAGAGATACTAAATCATTAGCCAGAACACTATCTCTTTTCTGTTCCCCCCCCCCCCCCCAAAAAAAAAAAAAAAAAAAACACATCTAAATAACAATAATCATATTTTCATAAAAAGGACATATCCAATGCACGAGACTCCCGTTGCGGGTCTGGGGAATATTAGATGTACGCAACCTTACAACTGCTACCAAAGAGGTTGTTTCTGCGACTTGAAGCCTTGACATCCAGGTCACAATGGAGCAATGTTACCGTTACGCCAAGACCCACCCTCAATCATATTTTTGCAAAAAGAGAGACCATAAACACAAAGAGGCAAGAACTCCCAACAAACAGCAAAAAGAATGCCATTGTTCCATTTCTCACAAAACTATAGAAAGGATCATGTTAAACAAACCAAAACTGCTGCCATAGAAAAGGGATTAATCTATACCCCCATTTTAGAAACCTTAGATTTTTTCTCTACATTGGCCAACAAATGATTAAGAAAGCAGCATATCCATGACCCGAAGGAGAAAACACCAGATGAATTCAAACTCCACAAGCAACAATGGAAAAGAGTTCCAAAATCAGCTCAGCACATGACATTAAGATTAGGGATTATCTAACTATTAATTAAAGAATAAACTACCAAAATCTTATCCACTAAGGAGTCCTCAATTTCAAAGGGAAGTTAAAAAAGGCATAATGGTGCTCCAAATATGATGTAGGGAAGGAGGAATGATGCTAGGCAGAAAAAGAAGGGAATCAAATAAAATATTGACGTACAAGAAAGAAATAGATAAATAGACGCATCCCATTGCACTTATTAGAGGCGTTCATAGTGACTGAGGGAAGACCAAAAAGTGAGTTATTTATAGCAAGCTTGTGTTATAGAATAAAGCCAAAATAAACATCCATCGTGCATATTTCCAATAATGAAATTGCCCATAGATTTGGCCCCTCAAAGAAATCTGCATATATTTTACACCAATCCTAACATATCAACCGCTAAAGAAATTGAACCAGGATATCCTTCTCCAAGAATCTTACAAATATTTAAGAAAAGGGATGCAACAGAGACCGCCCAAAAGATTTCTTAATCTACATCCCGATTACAACCACCCCAAAATCAGCTGTCCATAAAGCACACATAAACTATATTTAGTTTTCACTTAATGATTACATAAGAACAGAGGATCAAACCAGATGACACTCTACATCCCCGCAGAACCAAAGTGAGCTTTGACCAAGTAAGAAATGAATTGATCACACTTCCCATACAGGGTAAGTTTTCCACTTTCATTGTCACAAATCTGAACTATCGAGCAAGGCTAGTAAATATCAAGAGGCATAGCTCAGGAGAATGGTCCAAAAATGGAAAATCAAAGTAATATTGTCTTTTCTGGAAAAATTATACTCTCATCCAGTAAGTCAAACATTGCTGAAAACTCCACACCAGACAGAAGAGCACTAGTAATCAACTCCAAAGCAAGGCTCGAGTATGAAAGCTATAATAGTACACAATGCAAGACTTGAAAAAGACCTTGAACACCAAAATATCCAGAGACGTTGCACAAAACACTGGCCTTCGTTAGCAAACTGGAATTGCAAGGCCGTCAGCTTTGCACAGAAGCCACTGTGTAATTATCGCCTAATTCCATTTCTTTGGTTTTCTGAACCAATCAGCCCTGTGGAAAAAAAAAAATCTCCGCAACCCTTCCCTACTATAAGTTCCTAAAAAAACGCAAAAAGTGGATCATTTAATTTAATGACTTCAGTTCAAACTACAAAAAAAAAAAAAAACAGAAATAAAGGATATCCATCATAACATCCTATTAAATAAAAGCGGTCATTTTCCGAACCATTTGATGGCCACATCAACAAGAAGAAGTGAAAGAAGCCCTATTACTTACTTTGCTTGATTCGAAAGGCAGATATCCCCTTACCCAACCCAACCAAAAAAAAAAAGTTTCCAGATGGAATGGGAGGTTATGATAATTGCCTTGGTTATGTCTGTTGAGTCGTGTCATTTCCAAGTAGTTTACTCCCTTCTTCGAATAGCCAAGAAGAGTTATAATAGCCTTTTTGTGGTAGAAAGAGGATTTTGAGGAGCCAGTGGATGAAATGGCTCGAGGTAAAGGACCCTACATCTACGAGTGTTGAGAAAAAGTTCTCACCAGGATTTTATTTCCACATTGACTGAATTAACATTTCCCTCTTTGTCATAGCTGAGAAACATTCTAAAAAATTTCCATCAGGAAGTCAACAGAACATCAACGAAGAGTAGGTAGCATTTCATAGCTTGTTTAGTACGGCTCCTTGAGACTAGTCTGATTGCCTCAAACTCAATCAAAAAGCAAATAATCTTCCCAGAAGTCCATACTCCATAGTGATTGTTATGTGTGCTAGAAAGACTTGAATCAAAATGTGTTTGCTCTGTTTTAAGCACATATCTTCCAACTAGAAACATCATGAGATCGTTCAGCTTCATATTTTGGGGAAAATCTTGTCCTTTAGCCTATTACTTACTTTGGGAGCTGGAGGTACATAAGAAAGATGCAAAAGGGAGTGGGGCTAGAAAGAAAATACAATCCACATGGTAATTTAATCATACTGATAACCTTGTTAGGATGTATTTCAAGTTAGAGAAGTCAGTCAAATGACGCTCACACAAATATGGGAAAATAAATGAAGTTTGTGTTCATCTAGCATATGTTATAAAACACAGCCGCCTTTTCCCCAAGTGGCCCTAAAGATGGCACTGTCAAAAGCTTAGGACTCTGATTACAAATGTGAGAAGGTTGAAGAACTATGAGAACGGCTTTACTTTTTGCCTTCCTATTGGGCATCCGCAGCTAAAGAGTTTGAAGATTTCCTTCTTTCATGCATTATTTCGAGTTGGACTGCAACGTGTGGAATGTAGTGTTTGCCTATGCATGGATTTTGTGTTTTTCATTTTCATGTTTCTTTTATGTTTTCATATCTTAGTTTTTGGTTGTCTTGTTCAACTATGACATGTCCTTTGTGTTTTTTTGACTTTTTTAATGAAATCAATGTTTATTATCAAAAAATAAAATAAAAGAAGCTTAGGACTCAAGTTATTTAGGGGCATTCCATCTAAACTGATATATAGCTTGGTGCTGTTCATGAAAATGTTCATATGGAAAGCTTGAAAATCATCTTGGTGGGAGGCCTTAAGAGTTTAAAACTTGCTCTGTCAACTCTTCTAGCATGTATAGAAGGTTGAGGCTCACCACAGACTAGGAAATGGTGTTTTTCAGGCATACATTAGCATGATTTATCCATTTTGCATACCATCTGTCACTAACAACAGCAATAATACATAGACAAGTCCAATTTGCATGCAAAAAAGTGTCTTTCATCACCAACATCGTATAATTCTAGCAACAAGGTAATTACATATGTCACCAAGGAAAAGTCCCATGACTCTCATCACACCATTAAAGTACATAAATTGACCCATACCCTACAAAAAACAAAGTCTTAAGAGGGGAAAGTATGGGATGCATACCGAAAGCTTTAGAGTTTCACAGAGTCTTGAAATCTCCATTTTCAATAGAAGATAAAGATTCCTCCAGGAGTAAGACAATATTCTTCTTTCCTCAGATTGAACCACGTGAACTTCAGCTAACGAGTTATCATCACTAGAAAAGAAAATTAAAACTGCATATGACAACTTGGGAGTGAATTATAATCTTCAATTTCACAACCAACAAAAAATAGCTAACAAATGTTTTGAAAGCGAAACATAGCTCGAGTTCTACACCTGTTTAAAAGTTCTCAAGAAATAACAAGCTCATTCTGTTTAAAATGTTCACTCCAAGGTTACTTTTAACATTTCATCATCAGTGCTACAACATACAAACCAGGCTCTACAAAGAGTGTACTGAGCAAAACTAGAAAGAAAGGCAGAGATAACTAAATACAAAAAACTAGTACCTTTGCCTTTTAGAACATGTCATAAAAGATTCAACCCGCTTATAGGGTTCCTCTGCACAACTATGCTTCCTGCTAGCGTATGACAATTCTCCTTCAACATGATTTCCGAATTCTTCTGCATCAAAACCTCTTCTACTAGAATTGGATGGTTCCTGAGCTCCTTCGGAAGCTATCTCAACACATTCTTCTCTCAATTCTTCTACCAATTTTCCACTGCACTCAGCACCCCCATCCACCCTATTCTCCAATTGCTTGGAACCACCAACTCCAACATCCCTGCGATCAATTCGAGACAGCTTAACTGGTTTTTCCGGTTCCTCATCAACATCTATGCAAAAAAAAAAAAGGAAAATGAAGGAAAGAAAAGCAGACATTAACAATAATAATGTATAACTGAAAATGCATCACATAAAATGTACAAAAAGAGTTTCTTGGCTTTAATGGCAAACAATGACCGATTCATGCTGTTCATCTTTCCCTTCACTTTCATATTTTGATACTTTGCTCTTTCAATATGATATTAGAGTAGTGGACCACTTTAGGAGAAGAAGAAGAGGGGGAAAGAAAGAAAATCAACTACCTAGTGCAATACCCCTTCGCTGTAGCTTAAATAAAGACTTGTAAGTACGAGCATCCATTCTCTTTCTTTTCCTGCCAACAGGTTTCAAATCATGTTTCCCAGTTTTGTGAACTTCACTAGCTTCAATTGTCCATTGCTTTACATTCTTCTCTCTTTTTTTGTTCTGCTTCATGTCTGTTGAACCAGAACTTTTCTCAGGCTTCTTTGATCCTGAAGAACTTGATGAAGTCTGTTGCTTACTGTCAGATCTTTTCAAAGGACTTGGCATCTTATGTTTTTCAAATGTCCTCTTAAACGGGGACGTGTTTGGTGCCAACTTCTCAAGTCTCTCAGACTTGCGTGTACTTGATGGGCTTGAGGTGATTAGTTTCCTCAATAATGTTTCCCTAGATGACCTTCTTAAACCGGATGTACCAGCTGTTCCAAAACCCGAAGTACAGTATCTGAACCTTCTCCCTGAACCATTGCTCTCAGCATCCCTACTTCTGTGAGTATATTGAGTATCATTTGCCATCATTCCAGCTGTCCAAAATAAAGTAAAAACTCTCTCACATGATATAATCAAACAAAACAATGAGTAAGAAACAAGAGGTATGACACAAAATTCACATTGAAACCGGCAAAGCCATTGCAAAAAAACAGAAAGAGAGCAACATAAGTTATAAAATCATTCAACAAACTAAAAGCCTGTGACCAATTTGAATGATCAATGGCAGTTTCTTAGCATACAACTTCATGCTTTACTAAAATGTACAATCAATTCCACAAGTCAAATGAAAAGGTATGCCATAGTTCTAAATAATGCTAACCACATCTTGTAGCGATAATGATAACAGCGTAATGGGACACTGTGGAACAACGTTAACTGGAGGCATCATTTTATTCCACTCTCACCTCACCTAATTTATACAGTACATGTCTCTAACTTTGAGTTGAATTTTATTTCACAACAGACAACAGGTGTAACAGTTTATAGCAAGAAAAATGGAAGCAACAATAAGTATAAACAACCTGAGAGACAGGTAAAAAAAATCACATCCCAAGGACCTAGGAAGAGACTCTTGCCAATTGACAGATACATTAAAATTTGACGCAGCAAAATTCTGTCCAAAACATAAAATCATGCTCAACAGGTTTGGGTGGCTTAAACACAGGTTTGAGGCACACCAAAAAAAAAACACAAAGACGTGAATCCATTAGAAAGATGCTTTTGGGAAACCAGAAGTGAGTGGAACACAGAATTTCAGCTCCAAAGGTGAAGAACATCATCCGGATGTTCATAGAAATTGGCTCCGAATTACCGGGTGAGCAAGTATGTCATCAGCCACTGCATCCAAACTATTATACTCATTTCAGATGCTGGTCACACAAGCTTTAGGCAGGCAACCTTCAAATGGCTGACGGGGCACCCACACCCACCAATCCAGCTAGTTGTGCACCCACACCCACCAATCCAGAGTTTTGACAATTTCCAATCTCATGCTTAAGGCAACGATTGCACTATAGCCCATTGAACAAAATCTCTGCTCCCATCAGCTGTTGTTCACTCTTCACAAGCTGCCCAAACTCCAAACTCCATTTATTAATACTGGTACTAATTCAATTTGCAATGTGTTAGGAAAAACTCAAGATATTTTTATTCTGATAATAATATAAATTACAAAGCATATAATTACCATTTTTGATGTAGTGCATTTTAGAGAAACTCTCACTAAGCTGCAGAGCCTAATTGGTGCAGTCAAGCAATGATCAATTAATGGCATCTTTTATGCATTGTTGTTTATATCATGAAGCCTTAAATCTGCTCTTACATTATGTAATGCTTATTGCCTCTCTTTGTTAGTCAATCTTATAAATTTAAGTTACAGGCACTTTGGTGGAGGAAACTTATTTCAAAAATCAACCGAATTCTAAATTAAAGGGGCCTTGCCGCAGCAGTTGGTTGTTCCATTATGACCAAGGCGCCAACGGTTCACATCCCCTACATGCTAGAGGCAAAACTATTTACATCTGACCTTCCCCGGACCCACAATGGCGGGAGCCTCATACATTGGGCTGCCTTTTTAATTGAATTCTAAATGAGTCATGTAGCAGCTAGTTCCCACTCATGAAGACTTTTTTGGTCCAAAGGAAAGGGTTCTTGGTGGTTAAAAGAATCCCTTTTGTGTTGTGTTTTGTGTTAGCACATTATCAGCCACACCAATTTATGCTCTATTAAGCTCTAGATGTTGCAAGCATCGTGGTAACTTCCAATTTTTTTGAACATTGATTACGGTTGTTTTGAATCAGTTTATGTTATTTAGTGTGATTTGGAGTCCTAAGTGGCCAATAGCACTATTATGCGAAGAATTTGAATTTCATATTTCAGAGGCCTTGTCCGTATAACAGTAAGAGGAGTATAGAAGCCTATGAAGTGTAATCTCTTTAATTCAATGAAATTAAATTTTGACAATTTGAGTAAAACTTTGAAACTGCACTTGATGTGTAATGCAACCTTACCTTAAGATGGTGTGAAACTTTCAAACTGCAATTCATGTGTAATGTAAACTTACCTTAAGAGGGTGAAGGAACAGGCAGACAAAGGGTCTAGGAAAGGCAATAACAGGCTGGAGATGGCTTTATGCCTTTTGGCGGTTGTCGCAGAATTTTTGGAATCCTTTAATTCAAAGCCAGACATCTAAGAAAAACTACTTCGCATATTGATGTTAACAACAAACTCCAAATGGAAAACGACCCTGTGCCTAAGGGTCCCCAACTGTTTTGACAGATGAACTCAAGGATCCACTCTTCCCCCACCAAATCTATTTGTGTGGTTTATGTCGCAAATGATCTAATTGCCCTTTCCAAGACATTTGAGATATTGGTTTGTTGACAGAGAGCTAGTTAAGAAAAGAAAATCATGAACACTTACTTGTACCTACAAAGTTATGAGAGATGTTGATTTCTTTTCTTTTTTTAGTTAAAATATTCCTACTAAAAAACGTATAAAGTTCACAAGTTATTTACTATACGCTTTTTTTATTAACAAAACAAGTTAGTCTCTTCTTTTCAACCTTCATAAACATTTTTACACAGCAACCAAAAATAAGTAATTTCATTTCAACCCTAGCTACCCATATCTCATGACCATTGACAAAACTATTTACAGGCCTAGGGGGGCCACATTTTGAAAAATTCCCACAACCCCCCATACATTTTAATAAAGTTTTATTGTTACCTCTAAGGTTTTCAAAACGCCCAATGTGAACATTTCACTTGATATTTAATAACCAAATGGTGGATGTAACTACATGGATGAGTGTTGTTTTTATTGAAGAAGATATCTGATGACTATGGGTCCGTTTGTTTAGTGGGATAATTGTAGAAAATGCAAGAAAAATAAAATTTTTAAAATTTTCATGTGTTTAGTTAGCATAAAATGGAAAATGATAGAAAAAATAATTTTCTTCCATACTTAGATTTTCTCACAACTAAAATTTTATTTTATTTTTATAAAAAACACAAGAAAATGCAAGAAATTTGTTATCTATAACTAAATTCCTATTTTACCCTTATTTTTCTTCAAATATTTTATAGATTATTAATTTTAAAAAACTTGGCATGAATTTGGTTAACTATATAATTTGGCTCATAGACCTTCGTGTTGATGTTTGTCCCATAATTAGGTTAGGATCCACTTTTTTAAAAAAGATTAATTTTTAATTATAATACATATTTTTTCTTCTTTAAACTTATTTAATATAATTAAGGGTGATTTAGATAATTAGAAAAAATTTCTTGTAATTTTCCTTTCTTTCAAACAATAGAATGAAGCTTTTTTAAAACTTTCTCACAAGTTTTTCATTATAACTAAATATATGCATGAAAATATTCAAACGAATCCTATAGGAAAAACAAGTGAATTTTTTTAAAAATTCTTTTACAAATGTGGCTTATATAAAAAACAATCACTCATTTTTAATATGCTATCTTGTGAAATTATTATTTTCAAGCATAATTCGTTTATAGCCACAAGGTTATATTATAAATAAGAAAAAAAGAGGCCGGTAATATTGTCACAAACTAATTTTTATAATTGTACAAACCAATTTTGGGTTTTGTGACCCAAATTAATTTTTTACGATGACATTGAATAAAACCTAAATTTAATAAGTTTTTTATAAATACAAATGTGTCAATAACAATAACCATTGAATAACTCCGTTGAATAAAATTTATGACTATGTCATGGCTTGGTGCCCTCAAGATAAACTCCTGGTTTCGTCCTTGTTTATGACAAACCCCAAAACTCCTCTTCTCATTGTTCTATCACTATCGAATCAGCTTGAGCCTATTTCCTCTATGCTTGAACCTATAAACTAACAACAAAACTCCATAGACTTTGTTTACGATATCCAGGAAGGGTTTTGCCTAAATTTTCTGCAACCTCTCAATTTTGGAACCAGTCATCAACTTTTAAACAATGCTCCTAAACATGTCCTACACATGACCAATAAACATATGCCAGCTCTTAATGTGAGGAAAACAATGAGGGACTCAAGGAGTAATTAAAAAAACTATTCACAACAACTGGAGTCCAACAGATAATGAGGAGCTCAAAAGTTAATGCTCATTTTTTGGAAACCCCACTACAGTAATACCAACAACAATAGAGAATCGGAGACTTAAACAAATGAAAAAATTACTTGACCGGTGAAGTCAAAATGTATCACACATAGGGGACTATGGGTAACGAAAAAGTAAAAGTGACCGAGATGAAAGGGCAAGACTTATTGATTTTATATAGACAACAAAAGATAAGGATATTAGTTGGATATCCCTTGATAAGTAAATGTCACCGGAACAAAACAATCAAAGTTTCACCAAATTAGGTTGTAATCTAGGAGAAAAAACTATGAAAATTCTAAGTAATCAATCTATACCCAAAAATGGCTATTCCTTATCTACTCCCTCCTACTTTAAATGTAAGCTAAGACATAGCCAGACAAGTACATCAAGCAATAGAGAAACTTGACATCTTCTTGGGTACTATTACACTCGTGCTAGCAAACCAAAGAAACTCTAAGGGCTTGTTTGGTTGCCGTATTAGAAATGGATGGATTAGATAGAGTAATCCAGTCTAATACAATAAGGAAGGACAAAATACAAGATTAAATAGGGTATTAAAATAATACATAATTTTATCTAGTGTTTAGCAATATACAACATAAACATTGGATAGTAGTTATTTAATTCAATTAGTTGTTTGGTTAAGAAATTATTTCATCGTATTAATGTTGAATTAACAAAAATACCCTCAATTAGCGTTTGTTACATTGATGACAGCTTGATTTTATCAATTAGGGGGTTAAAATAGTAAATGTGTAGAATAATACGTTTGAATTGGATTATAATACCACCTCTCTTGGTGGTATTAAAATACCTCCATAATACAGGCCTATCGTATAAAAAATATACGATTAGTATACGTTTTTTAAATTAATACGGTATCAAATTTGCTTACCAAGCAAAGTATTAGGCCCGAT